TCTGAAGTTATTATATTTAAATAGAATTCAGTTAACCTTCTGTATGTAAGAGTTTAGGCCAAATGTACATTTAACGATAGAAAATTTAACACCAAAATAAGCTTACAACCTAGAGAAAAATGAACCATATTATACTGAATACATTTTAAATGGGCGTGTAAAACATGTTAGGTTGAATTTAGGTTTTTGTTGGTTTGTGGAGGGCTTGTTGATTGGTGTGGCATTTGTGTATTCCTGTTTGAACATTTCATGTTGCCAGTTAAACCAGTTTTTCCAGTTATGTTTTTTTTTTTAGATAAACTCACATTATCTGACCTGAAGAGTTTAAAGACGTTTACATTCAGATTATTATTATTTTAAAGCTTGTAACTGGTTTTAAAGTTCAAATATATTTACATCTACTCTAGTAGAACAGCTGTTTGTGTGCTGTAATGTATGATATAGTGGCCTCTAGTGCTGTTGTATGTGTGAAGTGAATGTGCCTCCTTTACAAAGTATTTGTGTATTGGCAGGCTTAATAGATTTCTAAACCGAAAGAAGAGAGACAGTACTTCTAAAATGAGTCTCAGTGAGAAGACAGAGGAGGGATGTTCTCAATTTGTGTATTCCTGTTTGAACATTTCATGTTGCCAGTTAAACCAGTTTTTCCAGTTATGTTTTTTTTTTTAGATAAACTCACATTATCTGACCTGAAGAGTTTAAAGACGTTTACATTCAGATTATTATTATTTTAAAGCTTGTAACTGGTTTTAAAGTTCAAATATATTTACATCTACTCTAGTAGAACAGCTGTTTGTGTGCTGTAATGTATGATATAGTGGCCTCTAGTGCTGTTGTATGTGTGAAGTGAATGTGCCTCCTTTACAAAGAATTTGTGTATTGGCAGGCTTAATAGATTTCTAAACCGAAAGAAGAGAGACAGTACTTCTAAAATGAGTCTCAGTGAGAAGACAGAGGATGGATGTTCTCAGTGCCGGGGATCTTCAGGTCCCAGCTGTGTGTCTGTGAAGAGTGACAGATCCATGGATCCGCCTGATTGTCTCAGTGATGAAGCAGTGACCACCGATCCTCTGTGAGTATAAACACGCTGGATCAAATGTCTAAATATGCATTACAGAATGTACACACACAGATTACATTTTCTAACATAAATACACATATTTCCCGCATAAATACTTTTTAAGAGCCATGAAAGTAATGACAAAATAAATGTACAGCCTAGAGGACAGTATACAAGATGATACCGAATGGATTGTAAATTGCTGGGTAAAACGCGTTGGGCTGAAATCAGTGGCACAGGCACACAATTAAGGCCAATGAAATGGTTTTTGTTTGTTTGTGGAGGACTATTTGAGGTGAAGAATGTGTTTTTATGTGTTTCTATTTTGTTTCGTAAACCAGCTTTTTTAGTCATTACGATCTCACATGAAGGAGTTTACATTCAGAACATGCTTTCATTTCACATTGTAATTGTTTAAAATAAAAGTACAAATAAAATGACAAGTAAAGTACTAGTACAGCTGATTGATTCATATTGATATACGTATATAGATGTATTCTGTGCACGTTTATATATTTCATATTCATGCTAGGTTAATAAGATTTGGGCTGAAATCAGTGGCACAGGCACACAATTAAGGCCAATGAAATGGTTTTTGTTTGTTTGTGGAGGACTATTTGAGGTGAAGAATGTGTTTTTATGTGTTTCTATTTTGTTTCGTAAACCAGCTTTTTTAGTTATTACGATCTCACATGATCTTACCTGAAGGAGTTTACATTCAGAACATGCTTTCATTTCACATTGTAATTGTAAAAATAAAATTACAAGTAAAGTACTAGTACAGCTGATTGATTCATATTGATATACGTATATAGATGTATTCTGTGCATGTTTATATATTTCATATTCATGCCAGGTTAATAAGACGAGTGTCATATAAACTGTGTGTCTGATCTGGTGTTTAAAGAGTTTAATGGTCATCTGTCTAGTGTCTTTGTATGGATGAAATTTTAAAGTATATGTATTGGCAGGCCTGTTAGCTACACTGAGGGCGACACTATCTCTGAAATGAATCTCAGTGAGAAGACAGCCCTGTCAACCATTTGCTCTCACCATGAGCTCCCAGGAGACTTGTGATGTGGTCACAGTGAGCTAAAAGTGTAACCTCACAGTGCTCTCGATGTGTGCTCATACTAATGTGAGGTCACAGTGCACTCACTGCACAGAGACTAGGTACCCAGCATGCACTGCAGCATGAAGCTTTTGATTGTCACCATTGTTGAGATTCAAACACTGATTCTCTTCAAAATGCTTGTGATTTATCATGCTTTTAAAATCATTCATAAATTATTACACTGTTATTATAACTAGAAACTTTATATTAATAACTCCTCACAAAGACTACATACTGAATCTGGGTGAAAATTGTGTTGCTATCATCAATAACAAACCGATATCACCTGGTTGCAGTCTCCTTTTGGTATTACAAAGACTACATACTGAATCTGGGTGAAAATTGTGTTGCTATCATCAATAACAAACCGATATCACCTGGTTGCAGTCTCCTTTTGGTATTCCTTGCCATAACAAATGTGCTTTACAAACACAGTTACAGCAGCCCCCAAAAATATAATGTTATAAAGTAAAAGGGTCAAGAGCCCAACTAAAGCAAACACTAATCACCTTGATGGTGACACCAAATGAAACAAACCCATCATCTAAATCTCTGGTAATTCTCAATAAGCGCTTTTGTAGATGTCTGACAGAAAATAAAGTCTGTCTGGTTAATGACTGGGAGAGGAGGGATTTTCTCAGTCCCAGAGACCTCCAGAATCCAGCTGTGCTGGGTCTTTAGTTGCGGATCATAATTTCAGTGATGAAACAGTAACCACTGATCCTATGTGAGCGTAAACATGCTGGATAAAGTTAGTTATTTAACTGTTAACATATTAGTTCATGTGTGAAAATGTATTACATTTTCAAACATGTACTATTTCTGCAAAAATTATGATGATTATGATGCAGCAGCAATGTTATTAAAAAAGAAGCATCTAAAGAGGAATAGCTGCCTGAGATGAAGCTGAAGAGTGACTCTTTATGCCAATAAACTGAAGCCTGTTCTATGACACATCCTATATTAGATTAATCAGATATGTATGTAGCTAACCCAGACATCACTATGTGACTTTGAAGCCATGCTTCTCTCTCTTCTCACGTCTATACTTTGGACTGCATGCTGTGGCAAGCTAAACAATCAGAGTTCAGGGTGCCACCCAAAGTGCTGCTATAACCAATCAGAAAAAAAATTAAACTAAAAAGATCATCGTTTTCATAATCGGTCGTCACTGTCACGGCCGAGTACTCGATCACTGTTGCACATCCCTAAGTAAAACCATTATATAGCATTATGCATTGTGAGACTTAATAATAGAGAAATAATCATTGTGAGAATTGAGCCATTGCAAGAGATGGCAATGAACTGTTTGATGCACATGCATCTGTGAAGTTCAACTTGCTTTGCTGTCAGGATAAACATTTATGCAAACAAGAAATACTTATGTAACTTAAATGACATGACATTAGAGTATAAATAGACCAGCAAAACAGCATAACACCTTCCATTACGTAAGATAAAATAATTAAGTCAAGTCAAGTCAAGTCACCTTTATTTATATAGCGCTTTTAACAATACAGATTGTGACAAAGCAACTGAACAGCATTAATTAGGAAAATAGTGTCAATAATGCAAAATGACAATAGTAAACACTCATTTTTCAGTTGCCAAAGGGATGTGTCTTTAATCTAGATTTAAACAGAGAGAGTGTGTCTGAACCCCGAACGGTATCAGGAAGGCTATTCCAGAGTTTGGGAGCCAAATGCGAAAAAGCTCTACCTCCTTTAGTGGACTTTGCTATCCTAGGTACTACCAAAAGTCCAGAATTTTGCGACCTTAGGGAGCGTGATGGATTGTAGCGTGGTAGAAGACTAGTTAGGTACTTAACAGCTTTTCATTCCCATCCATTTTCCTATATGCTCCTGTTCAGTTTTGGTTGGATTCATGATGTCTTCATTTAACAAGTGAATAAGCTAAATAGTGGTGGACACTGGTCCACGTATTCACTTATTTTTCTTCTTGTGTCAGCAGTGTGGGAACAGATGATCAGACTGCAGAATACCTGAAGGATTCTACTCAAACAATGAATGATGTTCTTCAGAGAGTCAAAGACCAACACAAAATGAGCATGAAGAAGAAGTATGAGAGATTATTTGAGGGAATCAAACTCCAAGGGAATGAAAGCCTCCTGAACAGGATCTACACACAGCTCTACATCATAGAGGGAGAGAGTGAAGGAGTGAATGAAGAACATGAGGTTTTACAGATGGAGAAAACAGCTAGAACAAAACACTCACAAGACACTCCAATCTACTGCAATGACATCTTTAAAGCCTCAGCTAAAGCAGGATCTGAGGAGAAAGAGCAGATCAAGACTGTTCTTACTAAAGGCATTGCTGGAATCGGAAAAACCGTCTCCGTGCAGAAGTTCATTCTGGACTGGGCCGAGGGAAAAGCCAATCAGGATGTAGATTTCATGTTTGTGCTTCCATTTCGAGAGCTGAACATGATCCGAGATCATCAGTACAGTCTTCACAGTCTTCTGCTGGACTTTCATCCTGAACTTCAAGATCTGGACTCACAGATTTAT